GAACATTGAGCATCATGTTGTGTTCATCCTGCAGCTCGTGTGTGAAACAGCGACACCTGCTGCTGTCGAACATCAAATACACCATACTCTGTTTAACATGTAAATACCAGAGTACAACATGCTAATCATTCAGTACTGTGGCACGTATCAAAATACTAGGGTATTCTACCCGATACTGCCACTGTACTTTTCCTTGGGTACACAAAGAAACATTGGGAAGCAAAATCATATAAATAATTAAATACTTCAATATTTAATCACTTATTAATAATTAAGATTAGTTCTTTCGGTTTAATTTAAATGATGCTTCATTATGAGATCAGAAGTGTTTTCTCAGCTCGTTATGAATTATTTTGTATGAAATATACATATTTTATTTGCTGTGGCAGTAAGAAGGGAATTTAGCAGCGAAGCACTTCAATAAATGAAGATCTAGCAGAAACTAATGTTAAGCTGAGGCTGTAAATCTAAAATAGTTTGTCATTTCCGTGCCGATGATCCGCATAACGGGCGTGATTTAGCGACTCACTTTTTAATTCCGCTATTAGTCTTAATTTGTTCTTAGTTTGATAATTCAGATGTGTACAAATGTTCTCAGCGCTGCAGGAAGAGCTAATCAGATTCGACCTCGGTTACTGGACAAGGCCGTTAATAAGAGATTGCTGGGTCGATTTTCCATTTGTATCTGAAACTAATACATCTAAACTTGTACTATACAAATAACCTCAACAAAAATACAGTCGCTCTGCAATTTGGAATTCTGTCATGTGACGCAGTCCATCCAATGAGGTGACAGATCCAGACGTTTCCCATCATGCACCGCTTTGAATCACAGAAACATCATAAACTATCGCATTTATTGAGAGTTGTAGCGTTTATATGAGATCGTTTTGTCGTTATAATAACACATATAAACGCATTAAAGCAGAGAAAGGCAGCGTGAGCGCAGGTAACTCGTCGACAGCGCTGTGTCTGTAGCGAGGTATAAACACGCTGAGCGCCGCACGGTACTCCTCGTCTCTTCTGTCCTCTCTCCCTTCTGTCCTCTTACTGGGCTTCAGAACACAGCCTGCCTTATCAAGACAGCTTCACCTTCACATGAGGAACAGAGTTATTCAGCTTGAGCAATGTAAAGAGTTTTCACAGCGGGAACATAATTAGGAACATTCTTGTGATTTTCTATATACTAACATTGAAAACGTTGCTGGTGGGCAAAATAAAAGGTCCAAATAAACTATACTATTAACAAACAAGTCTTTTATTCATATTCTGTGTATATATATACACAATTACATAAGAACCAGCAAACACAAAGTTTTTTTTATTTTTATAACAAGAGTCCAACAACTGACCATTTCAAATACTTGAGATATTCTGCATATGAACCGAATGCCTGATTTAGTTTAGATGGAGAATGTGAGCGTTTGATGTCACGCCACGGCTGGAATAAAGTACTGAAGAGAGACGTCCTCATGCAGAAAGATCAGGTGAAGAATCCTTCGGTGAACAATGTCTAGTTAAAAACAAAACACAAAACACACGTACTGAGTAAGAGCTGATTGTGTGTGTGTGTGTGTGTGTGTGAGAGAGAGAGTGTGTGTATGTATGTGTGAGAGAGAGAGTGAGTGAGTGAGTGTGTGTGTGAGTGAGAGTGTGTGTATGTATGTGAGAGTGAGTGAGTGAGTGAGTGAGTGTGTGTGAGAGAGAGAGTGTGTGTGTGTGAGTGTGTGTGAGTCTCTTACTGCACATGGCTCTGCTGGGATTGACCTGTTGTCCCGTGAGGAACTGCTGGAGTTTCCTGATGTCCACTCGTGCTTCAGTCATGAGATCCGGGTCTCTGTGAGTCGGACTGGAGCTCTGAGAGCCGTCGTCACCTGAGAGAGAAATCACACCGCACACAGTTTTTGTTATACTTTTGAACTAAGATTTTTTTTTACATTTTCTGTTCTTTTGCTTTTTTGTTAGAATTTGTAATTTTGTTTTTCATTTTTATTATTATTTAAATATGTCTATATTTTTTATTGTAGAATATTTTTATATTTAAATGAGTAAAGTTGCCTTTGCAACTAGCTGAAATAAAATAAAAGATATATATATATACATATACAGTGGGGCAAAAAAGTATTTAGTCAGCCACCAATTGTGCAAGTTCTCCCACTTAAAGATTTCTGTGCTTTTGTTCTCCTTTATTTTCATTGTTAGTTCAGTGAATGTAACTCCCGCTTTAAAAGCTTTATTTTTGGTTTTAGATTGCGATGTTAGAATGAAATGTGATTTTAACCCTTTTTTGCACATGCTATAAAGGCTTACATGGTTACATTGCCTTTATGTTTTCATAGCCTTGGATAGGTATTGTTTTGTTGGGCAGTAAGTGAAATAGACAGAAAAGACGCTCGTTATGATTAAAATCTAATACCGCAAGTCAGATTAACAGCTGAAGTCTCAAACTCATGAAGCACAGACACCAGCGCATGAACTGCTACAGTGTGTTCATCTCTATAGTAACAGAAGGACATCCAGAATAAACATGTTTAAACCCACGTGTGAAGTGATTCAAACACCCGACGTCGATGATTCTGGCTCGAAACTTCATGCTGCGGCAGAACACGTGTTATTTAAACTCTGCGAGCTTCTCTGGGGTTTGTTGACGGTCACGTGTGTTTTCGCGCCAGCGGTGCAGCAGAAACAGCTTCCGGCTGGAAACACACGCCTCGTGTTTACAGTTCCGCTGTGCTTCCTGCCGCCGCACGGTGGCGCTCTGAGTAAAGCTCTAATCCTCCGAAATAAAACACTTACGTGCTTACATTTACTCATATTTTAACAAATATTAATATTGTATTATTTTTATTATAAAATAAAATACAAAAGACAGTATATTAGTTTATTAATCCTTCATCAGAATATTTTATTCACTGTGGTTAATAATTATTAGATTATGTAGTAAATAATTCAGATTTATTGCTTCAGTGATGACGACAACCACATTTTTCACTGTTTATATTAAACATATCACAGTAAGAGAGTATTAATGATGATGCTTCATCTTTAAGATGTTTTTATTAAGCTGTTCTCGTGTGTGTGTGTGTGTGTGTCTCACTCTGTGTGTGTGTGTGTGTGGGTGTGTGTCTCTCTCTCTCCCTCTCTCTGTGTGTGTGTGTGTCTCACTCTGTGTGTGTGTGTGTGTGGGTGTGTGTCTCTCTCTCTCCCTCTCTCTGTGTGTGTGTGTGTCTCACTCTGTGTGTGTGTGTGTGTGGGTGTGTGTCTCTCTCTCTCCCTCTCTCTGTGTGTGTGTGTGTCTCACTCTGTGTGTGTGTGTGTGTGGGTGTGTGTCTCTCTCTCTCCCTCTCTCTGTGTGTGTGTGTGTCTCACTCTGTGTGTGTGTGTGTGTGGGTGTGTGTCTCTCTCTCTCCCTCTCTCTGTGTGTGTGTGTGTCTCACTCTGTGTGTGTGTGTGTGTGGGTGTGTGTCTCTCTCTCTCCCTCTCTCTGTGTGTGTGTGTGTCTCACTCTGTGTGTGTGTGTGTGTGGGTGTGTGTCTCTCTCTCTCCCTCTCTCTGTGTGTGTGTGTGTCTCACTCTGTGTGTGTGTGTGTGTGGGTGTGTGTCTCTCTCTCTCCCTCTCTCTGTGTGTGTGTGTGTCTCACTCTGTGTGTGTGTGTGTGTGGGTGTGTGTCTCTCTCTCTCCCTCTCTCTGTGTGTGTGTGTGTCTCACTCTGTGTGTGTGTGTGTGTGGGTGTGTGTCTCTCTCTCTCCCTCTCTCTGTGTGTGTGTGTGTCTCACTCTGTGTGTGTGTGTGTGTGGGTGTGTGTCTCTCTCTCTCCCTCTCTCTGTGTGTGTGTGTGTCTCACTCTGTGTGTGTGTGTGTGTGGGTGTGTGTCTCTCTCTCTCCCTCTCTCTGTGTGTGTGTGTGTCTCACTCTGTGTGTGTGTGTGTGTGGGTGTGTGTCTCTCTCTCTCCCTCTCTCTGTGTGTGTGTGTGTCTCACTCTGTGTGTGTGTGTGTGTGGGTGTGTGTCTCTCTCTCTCCCTCTCTCTGTGTGTGTGTGTGTCTCACTCTGTGTGTGTGTGTGTGTGGGTGTGTGTCTCTCTCTCTCCCTCTCTCTGTGTGTGTGTGTGTCTCACTCTGTGTGTGTGTGTGTGTGGGTGTGTGTCTCTCTCTCTCCCTCTCTCTGTGTGTGTGTGTGTCTCACTCTGTGTGTGTGTGTGTGTGGGTGTGTGTCTCTCTCTCTCCCTCTCTCTGTGTGTGTGTGTGTCTCACTCTGTGTGTGTGTGTGTGTGGGTGTGTGTCTCTCTCTCTCCCTCTCTCTGTGTGTGTGTGTGTCTCACTCTGTGTGTGTGTGTGTGTGGGTGTGTGTCTCTCTCTCTCCCTCTCTCTGTGTGTGTGTGTGTCTCACTCTGTGTGTGTGTGTGTGTGGGTGTGTGTCTCTCTCTCTCCCTCTCTCTGTGTGTGTGTGTGTCTCACTCTGTGTGTGTGTGTGTGTGGGTGTGTGTCTCTCTCTCTCCCTCTCTCTGTGTGTGTGTGTGTCTCACTCTGTGTGTGTGTGTGTGTGGGTGTGTGTCTCTCTCTCTCCCTCTCTCTGTGTGTGTGTGTGTCTCACTCTGTGTGTGTGTGTGTGTGGGTGTGTGTCTCTCTCTCTCCCTCTCTCTGTGTGTGTGTGTGTCTCACTCTGTGTGTGTGTGTGTGTGGGTGTGTGTCTCTCTCTCTCCCTCTCTCTGTGTGTGTGTGTGTCTCACTCTGTGTGTGTGTGTGTGTGGGTGTGTGTCTCTCTCTCTCCCTCTCTCTGTGTGTGTGTGTGTCTCACTCTGTGTGTGTGTGTGTGTGGGTGTGTGTCTCTCTCTCTCCCTCTCTCTGTGTGTGTGTGTGTCTCACTCTGTGTGTGTGTGTGTGTGGGTGTGTGTCTCTCTCTCTCCCTCTCTCTGTGTGTGTGTGTGTCTCACTCTGTGTGTGTGTGTGTGTGGGTGTGTGTCTCTCTCTCTCCCTCTCTCTGTGTGTGTGTGTGTCTCACTCTGTGTGTGTGTGTGTGTGGGTGTGTGTCTCTCTCTCTCCCTCTCTCTGTGTGTGTGTGTGTCTCACTCTGTGTGTGTGTGTGTGTGGCTCTCTCTCTGTGTGTGTGTCTGTGTGTGTCTCTCTCTCTGTGAGTGTGTGTCTCTCTCTGTGTGTGTGTGTGTGTGTGTGTGTCAACTAACAGCCCACAGACACACGCGATCATGAAGTAGGAGGAGAGAGAGAGAGAGAGAGAGAGCGCAGCACAGAGTCTCTGAGGTCCGCATCGCTCCTCTCGCGCTCCGCTGATGGACTCGTGATGATGATGATGATGAAGACGAAGAGGATGATGAAGAGGATGTTCAGTGCTCCGGAATCACTGCATCAGCCGCTGCTTGTGTCGGATGAACCGGATCGATGTTTTTGATCGGATATGAATTGAATGATGAATGTGTTGTTCAGAGATCTGAGCTGATTGATTCAAACTCGCTTCTTCATCATGGATCCGAATCTTCTCACACTCTTCAAACTTTCTCTGATCCTCGGTGAGTGTATTCATCTCTCTGTGCCAGTTTATTTTTTCAAACGCTTTCGTGTTTTGTGTGAGTGTGTGTGAGTGTGTGTGAGTGTATGGTGTGTGTGTGTGTGTGTGTGAGTGTATGGTGTGTGTGAGTGTATGGTGTGTGTGTGTGTGTGTGTGAGTGTATGGTGTGTGTGTGTGTGTGTGTGAGTGTATGGTGTGTGTGAGTGTATGGTGTGTGTGTGTGTTTGTGTGAGTGTATGGTGTGTGTGTGTGTGTGTGTGTGTGTGTGTGTGTGATTCAGCAGATTCACACACAGATCTGAATTGAACTCATTCAGAATCAGTGTCACTGTACAGTGAGAATGTACAGTAGTTCTTTCTGACCCTGATGTCCATTACTTTAAATTTAAATTTAACATTCAGTGTGATGTTTCATCATTAAAAATTATTATCTATTATTATTACTACTACTACTATTATTAGTACTATTATTATTATTATTATTATTAAGGCTACATAAATGAATCATGGCTGTACTTCTGGAACATTTACCTTTATGTTTTTATTGCAGTTGTCAGATATGTAACCCACACCATTAACAGATCAGATTGGAAATGAGTAAATTATTATTTTTAAAGTAAAAAGAAGCATACAGATTTTAGCTATCTCTATGTGGCAGCTTGTCAAGCATGAAAAACACACATTTTATTTAAATTCTGAATATATTATCGTATAGCATGCAAAGAGCGATCCCTTTAAATTTATTAAAAACTGTATCTCATTCATCACGATCTCACAAAGTTCCGTTTTAACCAATGAATGTGACCACACAATGAAACTTTTTTAATGAAGTTACAAGCATGATAGAACTCAGCGCTGGACAAAAAAACTGGATTGTTTGCCAAATCTATTTTGTTATGCTATTATTACGAAGAAAACAGATCCTAGACCAGGGATTATGGGCAGCTTTTCCATCGAAAAGCAATCAGAAGCAACAGCAGGCAGTTGTATTATACACGCGAAACTAAGGCCCGGCCATCCCCCTCGGTCCGGAGTGGGGCACAGAGATGTCCGTGGTGGGGCAAAGCCCCCCCGGCCGCCCCTCTGGTGCCGGGCCTGTGTGATAATCAAGTAAATCATAAAAATGTCAAATAAATGCTTTCCAAATAAAATAAATGAAAATCAAACACATTTAAAGACTGAATGTTTGATTAATTTAGCTGCATGTCATGATTCATGTATGATCTTCAGCTCATGTGAAGGAGGGTTACATTGGGACAGCAGTGTGAATGTCTCCTGTGGAGCTCACATACGCTCATGTACTCTCAGATACTCTCATATACGCTCATGCATGCTCAAATACTTTCAGGTACTCT